CTCTCGCCCTCTCTCACTCTCTCTCTCTCTCCTCTAATGCGTTATGTCTCTCGCTCTCTCTCTCCTCTCATGCGTTATGTCTCTCGCCCTCTCTCCCTCTCTCTCTCTCTCTCTCTCTCTCTCTCTCTCTCTCTCTCTCTCTCTCTCTCTCTCTCTCACACACACACACACAAACACAAACACACTCACAAACGCGACGAGACAGGAGAGGACACAGGAGACAAGGGGGAGACAGCAGTGGGTCATCTGTCAGTCTGTTTGTTTGTTGTTTAGTCAGTGGATGTTGTTTATTTGTTTGTTGTACCACGGTGTCAGATAAGGATGTCAGGACAAAACAGTGATCAACTGCACCGCACCACTCTGGCCATTTATACGGTAAGCCTGAAGCCTCTCTCTACTAAGTGTGAATGATACACAATCACATGTACCTGTATTAACTGAGTAGAACAAGATTAATAAAGTACATGGACATTCATTTACATTTATAAGAAATGTGTTGCCTGTATGTTTATTAGAATGTAATTCAGAAATAATAATTAAAAATAATTATTACATTGTTACAGCATGAAGCATAATTGTGTGTGTGTGTGTATATATATATATATATATATGTGTGTGTGTGTGTGTGTGTGTGTATACATACATTATTATTTATAAAATATTCTAGAAATTATAAAATATAAAAATTATAAAAAATGATAGAGTTTAATGATATAATGTAAAATATTACAAAGTTATTGTAAATTTTATATAGAGAAAATACTATATATATATATATATACATAAATCAGTATTTTTCAAAAGTGATTTTAGATATAGACCATTTTGTTGTGACAAAAAAAAAAGGTAACAGATTGATGTGGAGTGACAATATGTGTTGACATTTGATCTGTTATCGGACTCTCATTCTTACACTGCTTGTCCATCCACTCAGAGCATAATGGAGCAGTTCAACCCAGGTCTGCAGAGACTGGCGGCACTGGGAAGCAACTACATTCAGGCTTTCCAAGGCAAGTCAACTTGAGAAAGAATGAATGCAGTAGATGCTAAGACTGAAAAAGCTGAAAGGAGGAAGAAGGAAAGCAAAGTGGTTGAACTTTGGCCTGCTGGATGTCATTTATGATAATAAGTCGGCATTGCTGCAGCGTCATTGGCTGATTCAACATCATTGTTTAATGACTGTCTATTTTATGAGTCTTGAGTTTCAAGAACTCACTAACTCGCTGTACTTGTGAAAGACTTTAATCTTTTGAAAGATGACAATCAAACAGTGTTCTATAAGTTTGATAATGATCTTTCAACAGATTAAAAAAACAATAAAAATAACTTTTTTTTAATATTGTTTTTGGTGATCGGAGAATGAATATTTGACTTGATATCAGCCCTTAAAGAATGGTGTTGCAAACAAAACTAAACATTTCGCTTCGGCCCAAAGAAAAAAAAGAGACAAAAATGGCCATTAAGAACAGGAAATAAAATGTGATTAAAACAAGACAACAAATCAGCAGATTAAACAAGACAAAATGCAAATATATAAATAATAAATTGTCTGTCTAACACGTCTTAAATGGTTGGTTCAACAACAAAATTTCAATTTTGTCATCATATACTTCCATATGTCATTCCAGACCAGTGTCACTTTCTTTTTCCACAGAACACAAAAGAAACCAGATAGTTATGTGAAGACAAAACAGGCTTTTTAAAATCTTCTTCATAGCAGCTCTCAAAACTCATTTACAGTTGCAAATATTAAAACATTTTTAAAAAAACAATAAAAATAACTTTTTTTTTATATTGTTTTTGGTGATCGGAGAATGAATATTTGACTTGATATCAGCCCTTAAAGAATGGTGTTGCAAACAAAACTAAACATTTCGCTTCAGCCCAAAGAAAAAAAAGAGACAAAAATGGCCATTAAGAACAGGAAATAAAATGTGATTAAAACAAGACAACAAATCAGCAGATTAAACAAGACAAAATGCAAATATATAAATAATAAATTGTCTGTCTAACACGTCTTAAATGGTTGGTTCAACAACAAAATTACAATTTTGTCATCATATACTTCCATATGTCATTCCAGACCAGTGTCACTTTCTTTTTCCACAGAACACAAAAGAAACCAGATAGTTATGTGAAGACAAAACAGGCTTTTTAAAATCTTCTTCATAGCAGCTCTCAAAACTCATTTACAGTTGCAAATATTAAAACATTTTCTAAATATATTTAAAATACATTTCAATATTACTATATATATAATGCAGGTTTGTTGTATCAGGTTTGTTGTCATTGAATCCAATGTCACCGGTACAGTGGCAAGTTAAGAGTTAAGAGTAAACGATGGCAGAATTTGATTTTTTGTGTGAACTAGTCCTTTAATATCTTAATGAATTTAAATAAAATGTAACCTTTTAACTTAACCTTTAAAATGTTAATAATTAATCTTGTTTTCAGGATGTTTAAATAGTATTACTTGTAAAACAAGATGTTAGAATTAGACTTACACTGTAAATGAATCAAGATATTATTACTTAATATCTATTTAATATTGTTTTACTTAATTTATTTTTATTTTATTTTATACATTTCAAAACCATTATATCATTATATGTCATAGTTCTATGTAATATTATATAATATACAATATTTCATATTTTGTTAAATTGTAAATATGTTGTAAGGGTGTGCTTAGTGGATAATGAAGGAAATATAAGAGAATATAAGAATACAATTGTTTTTCAGAGTAGCTTTATATAAAACATTTTTGTGTCTGTCTCAATGAAAATGAAAATGACTGAATAAAATAAACCATCCACCAAATTCATAAATGTGACCCTGGACCACCAAACCAGTCATAAGTAGCACAAGTATATTTGTAGCAATAGCCAACAATACATTTTATGGTTCAAAATGATCTATTTTTCTTTTATGCCAAAAATCATTAGGATATTAAATAAAGATCATGTTCCATGAAGATATTTTGTACATTTCCTACCATAAATATATCAAAAAATTTTTGATTAGTAATATGCATTGCTGCTAAGAACTTCATTTGGACAACTTTAAAGGCAATTTTGTCAATATTTAGATTTTTTTGTACCCTAAGATTCCAGATTTTAAAATAGTTGTATACCAAATATTGTCCTATCCTAACAAACCATACATCAATGGAAAGCTTATGTATAAATCTCAATTTTAAAAAATTGACCCTTATGACTGGTTTTGTGGTCCATGGTCACAAATGTAATGTAAATAATGTCAAGCACTAGCAAAGCACTGCACTGAGAAAAATACAAAAATATAGGTGATCCAACACCAGTCCTGTCTCCTGTCTCCTTTTTAAATCACACAAGTTAGATTTGAGCACTACGATGGAAGGCAAAGAAGGGATAACTTTAACTTTTTGTGTGAATTAGTCTTTAATATCTAAATGAAGCTTAGATCTTGATCTTGTTTTAAGGATGCTAAGATATTATTACTGTTAAAAAATCATACAGTGGTAAATGAATTAAATCTGTGTGTATATCTATAGCCCTGGCCCTCACCAGTGAGGCCTATTTCAATGCTCTGTCTAAGATGGGTGAACAGGCCATGCAGAGCATGTCATCGCGTTTGCTGGGTAAGCTTTTATTTCCTCTCATCATTTCCTTTCCTTTCACACTTTTAAATTACAGCAGGACACGTTTCTGTCTTTTCATATTTTTCTGATGAATATGCACTTTCCATCACAGGGACAGAGCGGGAAAGAAAGAGAGTTATGTGTGTTTATTGAGGGTGATAAATTGGGAGGGAGCCAGTGCCCTTCACACACTCATATTGTACTTTGCTCTTGTAAATTCACCATGTTCCTCCTCGGATCTCTCTTACACACATGAGTGTGTTTGTGTGTGTGTGTTTATTTATAGCTGACATCTATCACCTTGTTGTGGTTTAATGGAAACATTTCATTAAATTTCAATGGTGCTTTTGTTGCTATGAATCATATTTTATGACCACAGAGAGATGGTATGAAGTATGACGTGGTATGATGTGTGTGTGTGTGTGTGTGTGTGTGTGTGCGTGCGTGCGCTTGTGAGTTTTGTAGTCAATACCAGATAACTGCACCTCCTCTGTGATGTTAAATAATAAATGATGACACAACGTCAGCTTGGCAGTGCAACCTTTCGAGGCTAATACTTGCACTTTGACACATGGACACGCAAGCAGAGACTGTAATGTTTGTTTTGCAGGTGATGTTTTGGTCCAGATCTCAGACAGTCAGAGGAGAATCACCAATGAGCTGGAGGGAGTGGTGCGTTACCGATCCTCCTCTATTGACCCATCATTCGATATCTTCTGCTCCTATGACGTTGTTGACATAATGCATGTTTGATTGTCTGTACGGCCAATCCCATGTTTAACGAGTCTGTGTGATTGATTCAGTTCCGCTGGTTCCACTCCGAGGTCCTTCGAGAGATGGACGACAATGTCAGACTAGATAAAGAATACATATTGGTGAGTTGTTTGGTATATTTTGCAAACGCAAACAAACAATGTACATTTTAAGAACAGAAAACATGCATTAACACCCGTTTTTCTTAAAAAATACAACTAAAATTAGGAGCAGAATTAATATTTACCTAATTAAAGATACTTTATCCTTCAGCCAACTCAGAACAAGGAACATTATCTGATTACAATGATTCTAAATATTGAAACTAAAATGATTGATGTTGATGTGGTTGGGTCCCTTTCTCCTCCAGAACAGCAGGAGGCGCTATGAGATTGAAGTGAGAAACCAGGCATCGACACTGGAGAGACAGATGAGGCGAGGGGTCCCACAGGTGAGAGCAGTGTGTGACCCTTGCTAAATGGCGCACTAGATTTGGACATGTCTGTACGTTTGTGGCATCCAGAGGACTGTAGATTGTCTCATTTGTCATGTTTAGATTCAGAAGGCAGATAAGAAATAGATAGATATAGATAAAGAAATACAAAAATACAGAAATGTTATGAAATAAAAAAACAAACAAACATTTGAACAGAGTAGAGTCTCCAACAAAACAGCTATTTTTAAGAGTGTTGAAGCCAAGCTAATGCTGTAAAGCATAATTATCATTCATGATGGTAAGAAATATGAAAAATATAATGATAATGATGTTTATGGTAATAATGTTGATGGATCTGTGTAGGACGGCAGCGAATATGTGCACTTTCTCAGAGAGTGTCAGAGAGAGGCGTTAAAGGAGGAAGAAAGAAGATATCGATTCCTGGCAGAGAAACACAGCGGCTTCACCCAGTCCATTGCATATCTCATGAACAAGGTTAATATCATTACTTTTTATTAGTATCCATAATTAACTAGCTGCTTAATGGGGTGTAACCAAAGTGATGTGGAGATATTATTAAGGAGAATCTGTGTCAAGTGTTGTCATAAAAGCTTGCCAGCTCAATTTTTTTGTCTAATTATTTAATTTTTGAAAGGGGAAAAAAATCTTTGGACAAGACAAAATATTTGGGTAGCCTTAAGGCCCGTTCACACCAAGCACGCACGATAACTAGATAACGATAAAGATATAGTTCTAAAAAGCTTTCTCAATATTAAAGAATAGCATAGTTCACACCACAACTATAACGATAACGATACAGAGGAACGATATCGTTGTGATCACTTTCAAAATGTTTTTTTTTCCAGCTGATGAACGATAAATCACTGACAGCTAATCAGAATCCATCCTGCTGTAACGAGCTCAAGAGTTTAAAGCGGCAGACGATATCGTTCGCTGGTATAGACGCTAATATCGTTATCTTTATAGTTATCGTTCTTGGTGTGAACGGGGCTTTATACTACATAAAATATTTTTTTAGAATATGTTTTCTTTTCTGCCAATTAAAAGTTGTTTGGAAGTGCTCAGTTTGATTAATGTGTGTTTAAATGTTTTATTCTTCCCACAGACAGGGGGTGGCCTGCAAAACAGAGCAGAGGGGTGGAAAGATCTGGTGAATCACACGAGAGAATCCCGTCCACGCACTCCTTCACGATTCTCAATATTAAAGAATAGCATAGTTCACACCACAACTATAACGATAACGATACAGAGGAACGATATCGTTGTGATCACTTTCAAAATGTTTTTTTTTTCCAGCTGATGAACGATAAATCACTGACAGCTAATCAGAATCCATCCTGCTGTAACGAGCTCAAGAGTTTAAAGCGGCAGACGCATGTACGCTTAGAATAAACAGACGATATCGTTCGCTGGTATAGACGCTAATATCGTTATCTTTATAGTTATCGTTCTTGGTGTGAACGGGGCTTTATACTACATAAAATATTTTTTTAGAATATGTTTTCTTTTCTGCCAATTAAAAGTTGTTTGGAAGTGCTCAGTTTGATTAATGTGTGTTTAAATGTTTTATTCTTCCCACAGACAGGGGGCGGCCTGCAAAACAGAGCAGAGGGGTGGAAAGATCTGGTGAATCACACGAGAGAATCCCGTCCACGCACTCCTTCACGACTGGAGGACAACATTGTGAGATATAATGAAATTATGTTTAATAACACTTAGTGGCCTTAAATAAGAGGTACCCAAACTTTTCAATACCAAGGGCCAAAAATGAAAATTAAATGTTGCATTATATCCAACTTTAATATATATTACAATGTGGATGTCATTGAGGGATGACGTCAGTACGTAATCACGACGCAAATTTGTCAAATGTCTTCTTCTTCTTCTTCTTCTTCTTTCAGGTTTAATGGCGGTTGGCAACTCATCTCAAAGGTGCATTACCGCCACCTACTAGACTGTAGTGTGGGCATTAGACTGACATCAAAGGAGTGGAGAGGGAAGATATATATATATATTTTTTTTTTTTTTTTAAATAGGAAATTATTTCAAATAAAATTCACTTACATTGTTTTTTACATTTCAATGTTTCTGTGTAATTCTCTCAGCTTGATGTAAACCGCTGGGCAGAGCAACCACTGGGCACGGTTCCCTCTAGAGGTGTGGAGAGCTTATTTTGAAATTAGAAAAGACTTCTGTAAATATTACGCACTGTTTTTTTGTGTTTAATAGGCACATTTTTCTCCCCTTCATCTTAGGCCCCTCCCCTCAGCCCAGTCGTTCCAACTCCATCTCGGGATTGGCCGGAGGCAAAGTGATGAGAGCACTGGTGCCCCACCCTCCCTCTGCAAACTCCACCCTCCTGCCGTTCTCCCAAGGAGAAACCATCACCCTACTCGTTAAAGAGCCGAGGAACGGCTGGCTGTTCGGCCGCTCTGACAGCTCTGGACGGTGAGAGAACTTTCACACTTAGTCTATATTGATCCAGATACATATGAATACAGCATTTTCATTTCAAAATGTTCTGTCAACATTCATTTTTTCAAGCTTTCCAAAAGTTGTCACTGAAATGTCATAAAATGCTAAAATCATCTGTGCATGTGTAAAACAAAGTAATAAAAACTCACTGAGATGATACTGAGAGACCAGACATACTGCAATAAAGTTATCATGCTATTCTTATGGCATGATTATTTTATTAGCAAAATATCTCACCAAGTGATGGTGAGTCCAGGTCACAATCGCCATTGCATGTATTACCTAAAACACAATTGCCCTCATATTTTGCCACAGGACAGTGATTGCAAATAAATATTGTGTTATCTTATCTTATATAATATGAAGATTGAACACAGTAACATTTATCTTTAGCCACACCATGAATGTGAATAACACATAGCAGGCATATACTGGTAATATCTATCAGTACAATATGCGTCACATGCGTTATCATTTTAAAATACTTCCATTTTTACAGCTCACGCTACAACGTGATAAGTGATCAGTTTTATCCACTCGACAGGGCATCTTTTAAAAGTTACATTTTCACTTACAAAAATGTTGTCTCTGTGTGGATGGAAGGTCAAAACATGGAGAAAAAGCATGCATTTTCAATATCAGTATTCAGTATCTGGACTGGTGTAGAAGTAGCCTTAGACTGGACTGGTAATCATAAAGTCCTCAATTCAAACTCCAGTGTCCATTCATGAAAAGGAGAGTTTCTGTATTCTCTTCAGTGATGCACTGAAACACACATACAGTGCTCAGATGGACCACCTGATATAGTTTCCTGTTCATTTGATCTGCATTGTTCAGGCAAGGCTGGTTCCCTGCTGCTTACGTAGGCCCCGTGGATGAACCACCTGGACCTCCTCTCTCCAGGTAAGCCGATACGGCACATTTCCCAACACCTGCACATCTGCGCTTCAGTCTCATGACATTTGGCCTCTTTTTCTGTTCAGTAGCAGCTCTTTCAGAAGCAGCAGCAGTATGAGTAACCTCCTCAACCAACCCATGAGCAGCAGGCAACAAACAGCTCCACCTGCACCTGCACCTCCGCCACCACCACCTCCGTCAACCAGATCCAGCAATTCCCGGCCGGTCACTCCCACCCCTTCAGAAAACAGAGTGAGGCCTGTTCAAACCTACATAAACAATGTTACAGGGAAAAGTCACCCACAAATTCTGTCATCATTTACTCACTCTCAACCTGTATGTGTTCGTTTCTTCTGCTGAACACAAAAGAAGATATTTTGAAGAATGTGAGTAACCAAGTAGTTGACGGTAGCCATTGACTCCCAAGTATTTGTTTCTATGCTATGGAGGACGATGGCTACTGTCAACTGTTTGGCAACCGACATTTTTCAAAATATTATTTTTTGTGCTCAACACAAGAAAGAAACTCATACAGGGGCGGAACGACATGAGTAAATTATGGCAGAATTTACATTTTTGGGTAAACTATCCATTTAATAACACATTTTAGAACAGTAATGTGATACATATCTGAATAGATATTAGAACAGAAAAATTAATTTAAATTCAGAATATTAAATTATGTAAAGATACTTTTAACTTGATTCTTTTTCAAAATAAAATTATTAAATTTTTATTAAAAAATGCTGATGGATAAAATGAGATAAACCATTTATCCATCAGCAAGACTGTGAAAAGTGAACTATATGACAGGTTGTAAAAGGTATTGTCAATTTCAGCTAAAAAGGAAAAGTTATTACATTTTGATGAAAGATTATGAAGATTATGAATGAACATTGGTTGTGTAATGTTCACATTTAGAGAAAGAACACGTATGAAGAAAGTAAGAAGGGTCCAGTATGATTCATGTTGACTTTTACAATTGAAGAAAAATGATCACAATCTGTTTCTTCCACTAAACAACACATTAATATTGCACGCAAAGTAAAAATGTACATGCAGCAACTGTAATGTAGTAATCCTTTGAGTGTATTTTACATTCTGATGTGGTTCTGGGTTGTTGTGTTTTTTTTTTTGGAACATCTGCTGATGCTCAGAATATTTTAAATCCCTGGAGAGATTCCTGACTGTAAACTGATGTAAATGTGGGGATGAGATGAGAACAGGCTGACGTTGAATTTTAAGTGTCAGTTCTTACTGTGGCCAGCAGGGGCACTGTGGTGAAGTGCTGTTCTCCACTACACCTCATCCTTCATTCTGGTGGCTGCAAGGGGGCAGCTCTTTCTGCTGACGGTCTGTGTGTGTGTGTGTGTGTGTGTGCGTGCGTGCGTGCGTGCATGTTTCAATGTGATCCTCTGATATACCTCAAAAGGGCTACAATTATATATGAGCCTATTGCTTCCTTTTGCATTTGTTGTGGTTTGCTGTGGCTATATACTTGTATTGTGATTTTGTCGACTAAGGAAGTATTTCTTTAAAAGCGTATATCCAGAAATGTGCTCGGGTACTTAAACTTTATGACAAGAAAGAACAGGGCTACAATTACAGTAATGCCATAGAAGAACCATTTTGGCTTCTTTAAAGAACCATTCAGTGAACAGTTCTAAAAAGAACCATTTCCCGCTAATTGTGAAGAACATTTTAATAATCTAAATAACCTTTTCTACTATAAAGAACCTTTTATGCAATGGAAAGGTTCCATGGATTTGAAAGGTTCTTCAATGCCAGTAAAGAACCTTTATTTTTAAGAGTATGGGAGTAGTTTCAGTACACTTCTCTAGATTCAGCATCACATTTGTCTGGTTTTGCTGTGACTTAAGTAGTTTAAAACAGTTCTAAAACAATTATCAGTGCTAAATAACTTCTCTTATTTTATTTTTACAGAGACAAGATGACTATGAGTCTCGACCACAACTTTTCCCAAGGTTGGTAGAAACACATTGTTTCATATGCATTGACCCCCTTGTTGTGTTGCTTTTTGTTTTCTACGATCTATATGGCAGATCTATGATTTTAACATGTTCATTTTTTCTTTCTGTTTACAGAGGCACAAATCCATTTGCCACTGTGAAGCTGAAACCCACCAAAACCAATGACAGATCAGCTCCACACGTATGAATAATATTTCAGCCAATGGCACGTCAGCTCCTAAACAATCAGTGCTGCACATTTTACTGTACATTGTTCAGCCATTTTCAAAAACATTAATTTTCCAGAGTAGTCAGTACAAAGCATCACATTTAGAACAAAACGACTCAAGAATGATCAATGACTAGTCTATTGTCCATTAAAGCAGGTCGTTAAGATAATTTACCTTTATCTTCAGGCTGTTGGAGGGTCTGCGGCAGCAAACACAATTAATAACACTCTTATATGTTTATATGTTGGACTTGTTCTTACTAAACAGGGAATGTAAATGCAGGTCAGCTGAAGTGCTTTTAAGTGCTGAGATAAGTGTGTCTTTTCCATCTTTACATTTTTAAATAATTGTATATAATATGCATTATGTAAGCAAAACACCTCTTAAAGCATCACGTGTCTTCTGAATGCACTCTATAAATGTATACTGTCATGTTTGATGCTGTTGGGGCTGGTCTGACCTCTGGGACCCCAGCGTCTCTGATAAGCGACTATCAGTCTCTCTCTCCCGCTCTGTGCTTGAACTTTGTCTCTCGGCTCAGTTAATTCATCTGATGCGTCCAATTATAAGCCGGCTCTAAATTGGCTGTTCTGTCTGCTTAAGTGCCTATAAAGTGAATGTTCATTTTAACCTTGACAGTAATTGGTGTGACCTTCTCCTGAGGTGTCAAGCCCATTAGTACAAACCCATTTGTAGGGATGTCTTGTATGTTTTTTTTTAGAATATTTTCCTGTTTAATTGATGCTGAATATTCAAAACAGAAATATGTGCCTATATCACAGCAGTAATTTGCGTCTGTTATGATTTGACCAGCGACTATAGAAAAGATACAATTGTAGACTTTCTTGTAGATATCTTGAACTAATTCTTTACATCTTGATCTGTTTAATAAATAAAACAATGTGAAGTTGATTTAGTGCCTCTGAAGGGGTCCTGTGTTGTTAAGAACTAAATAACTAAAAGTATAGCAATGCCACTAACTTTTTCACATTCCATTTTACTTCCAGTATATGACCATTTCCTTAAGAATAGGTCCAGAAATTCTTTTTTTAAACTTGATAGATAGATTTAATTGAATTACATTAAATTCCTAAATTAAATTCCCGCCTTTCAAATTCCAGTTTCCTGTGGGGTGCAGTCAATTCCATTTAAATACACACCCATGAATTAAAAGAGAAAGTTAATCCTTGAATTCAAAATTTTACAACCCTGTCAAACATACCATACTTCCAACTAATTATAAAAATAAAAAAAAACACACAAACAAACAAATAGATTCATTACACACTGAAATTTCTCTTTATTTTATTTTCTTTCACAACTTGACCTCTTTCTTCTTTTGGTGTGTTTCACAACGGCTTGTTAACGGAGGGATGGAGAGATTCAAGGAAGATAAAGACAGAGACAATGGGAGAGATTCAAGGAAGATAAAGACAGACGAAGAGTAGTGGATGATGAACAGTGCGGTGTTTTCTTTTCTATTATATCTACATATTGCCGGCATGAGGTTTTGCCCTGTTAAAGGTCGCTTGGTCTATACACTAGCAGAAACACTCACTTTTTTATAAAAAGGAAAATAAATAGCATGAAGGTCAGTGTGTGTGATTGTGTGTAGGGAGGTGTTCAGAAAGGGGCGTGCAAGCGTGTGTAAGTGAGCGTGTGTGTGTGTGTGTCTGTGCTTCAGGGGGGTTAGGCTGAGGTGTCGAGGTCAAAGGGTCATAAGGTATGAACAGGCCAAGAGTCGGAGTCACTTATTCACGAACCAGAGCAGCAAACTCTGAAACAGAAAGAGATAGAGAGATTATTAGCATTTTTGATAAAGTGCATAATATGGGTTAGTAGAAGTGTCATAAGGACTCCAGGCAATAATTTAAAATGTAATCAGTTCTGAAAACTTTGTGTATGTCTGATTCAATTGACTCTTATGAACCAGTTCTTTTTAATGAGTCAATCTAAAAGATTCACACTTGTTTGTGAGTTAGCAGTTTGAATTAGACTCACTAGTCACTCACTCAGTGAATCATTCAATGAAGTGGGATTTGAATCGTGATCTTTTTTATTCTGTAGCAAGAACAGACTTCCATATGAATCAACTATGAATCCTTACTTGAAAATTAAAGATTTAAATAGTCTTTTTGTTTTTTGTCTGGAGCCCTGCCCATTCAAACTGAGGAAGCGTGTTGAGATTTGAAACCAGGTATATTTACTCACTAATCAAAAACTAGACTAACACAGCTTACACTTTTATAAAGAACTAGTATGTTTTTTATATTTGAAAATAAATTGTTTTCTTATCACTTATCAAGTAAGTCAGGGCTCCCACTGGTGCCCCCTCAAAAAAAGAAAGAAAGAAATAAATAAATAGATGTGTTGCTGTTCCGGTATATTCTTTTATTTTACCTTCTGCTCCAATCTTTCCATCTCCATCTTTGTCCGCAGCCTGCAGGAATGCTTTGGTCTCCTTATCGCTCAGGTCTCTCCCGTCTGCAGCGAAATGCTTGAAAACAAACCTGCACAGAGGAAACAGGGCGAGTCTTAACACCTTTCAAACGTATTGTGTGCTCACCTTTACTCTGAGAGTTTCAATTACAAATCTTACGGGTTACAAGTTATCTGTTTGTAGTGTAGAAATGATGTAGTCTTACTTAAGTTCCTCCTCCTCTATAAAGCCACTATTGTCTGCATCCAGAACGTGGAAAGCCTTATTCACATCTTCAGCCGACTTCGCCTTCAGTCCGACCATCTCAAAAAACCTCTTGGGGTCAAATGAGTCGACGGCTACAAGAAGGAAAAAGCAGAGAGAATCACTGACATTTTGTCTGGAAACTTGGAGGAGTTTACATGAAAATGCATATTTTGTCATCTTTTCCTCACCCTTATGTCATTCCAAACCTATTTGGCTTTGTTTTGTTGAACACAAAAGGTGAATTTTCTTGATATAATGAAAGTAAATAGAGTTTGGGACTGTCAAGCTTTAAATAGAACAAAAAAAGCACCATAAATGTATCATAAAAGTGGTTTGTGCTAATTGTGCACTATATTCCAAGTGTTCTGAAGTCACATAATAGTTATGTGTGACAAACAGACTGAAAACAGACGGAAAAAAACAGACTTATGGTTTGGATCCCTTAAAACCTGCCCTGGCTCTCTAATCAAATATGGTGGCATTAGACAGGTTTGATATAGTGGAGTGGAATATTTTCAGTAAAATTGTTTGAAATATAGTGCATGAGTCATGTGAACTACTTTTATGGTGCTTCTTTGCCATTTTCTAGTTTAATAATCCCAGTCCCTGTCAACTTTCATTATAATAAAAAGAAAAGAACCAGGATATTAAATTACAATTTTGGCTTCTAACAATTATAAAAACAAGATAATAAACATAAAACAATTATTGCGCTGCTTTCCATTTTGCAATGATGTTCTCGTTTGTCATTTGCATTATACATTTTTTTTAAGTTTTCAAAGTCAAAGAGTCATGATCTTTCTGTAATTATGTAATAATAGTTTTTTTTCTGTAATTATGGTGGAAGTTATGATTTCTCTATTACTAGCAAATGACAGAATAAAGGGCCATTCAAACAGAATGCATTTTGAATTTAACAGGAGATGCATGGCAATGGAATGTAAAAACGCAAACTCTCACACACACTTTTCAAGAGTTGAACTTTTACAATTTTGCTGCAATGCTCATTTCCGTGTCATGCTTGAAACGCTGCAAAATATGTAAAATGTGATCGCAATGGTCTGACATCTAGCACACAGAAAAAGGGGGAAAACAGCACAGCTGAATGAAAAAAGTGAACAGCCCCTAAAAAAAGGTTTTTACAAAATGTACACTTATATTTACAATACTTATAAAAATTGTGATTAATCTTTCTGCAGACTATTTGTTTTCAGATTTTTAAACCATATTTTAGAGTAAGAGTACATATGTGAAGGAAAAATGAAAGCATGGAACTCAGGATGGTACGAAAAAAAATCACCTTGAAAGGCATCCAGGGCTTTCTTAATGTCATCAGGGTTGAGGATGCTGTTCATCGCCATTTCTACAACTGCAAAAGGAGACACAGGCAGAGAAAAAGAAAGAAAAATCAGCATTGATGTACTGTATAATAAAAAAAGCAATGCACCATGAAATTATGCAGCTGACCAGCGCAAGATCATGAAGAGAAGGAATTGATAAAAGGCCTTCAAGAAGTCATAAATTATGAACTAGTTTCGAGGGGTGAGAGAACGTCAATCACTTGATGTGTGTGTGTGTGTATGTGATTCTTTTAAACCACACAGCTCAGGTCCAACTCCAGATCAGAGGGGAAAACATCTTGAAGTTTTCTATGTCTGCCATCACATCCTGCAAAACAGAGGCTCCAGTGCCCACAATCCTTCAGTGTTTCCACAGGTGAAATCTGACTGCCAGAGACATTACAACTATCAGGTGTATGCTGATTTAAAATGGTCATCCAGAGATCGGCTTTGCATCAGAGTCTGGCTTCAGTCCAAACCAGCAGCTGAGAGACAATCTCAGAGAGCCCAGAGTCAGAGAGCCCAGAGTCAGAGATCGAGATCAAAGATGACTTTAGCTGGAAATATGTTTTTAATCAGCACACATTCAGTGAACGCTTCCTCAGCAAATGACTCACAGGTTTAGACTGATAGTAAGCTAATAGACTGCACTTAAAGGGGTCATATGATGCGTTTTCAATTTTTCCTTTCTCTTTGGAGTGTTACAAGCTCTTGGTGCATAAAGAAGATCTGTAAAGTTGCAAAGACTAAAGTCTCAAATCCAAAGAGATATTCTTTATAAAAGAGTCAGCCACGCCTACCTAAAATGGCTCGTTCTAACACGCCCCACATATCTATGTCACTATGTGGGAAGATTTGCATAATGCCGCCCAAATGTTCACGCAAAGAAAGAAGGCGTAACTTTTATTCTTGCTGTAGTTTTGTTGTTTCCACTGCCATGTCGTAAAAGACGCTGTGTGCTTCATTGTGAAAGCGAAACTACTTTGTTTGGTCTTCCAAAAGAGGACGATATCTGCTTCGTCATGCCTGGAGCTGATCCGTGCTGGTCGATGAGGAAATACTACAACTTTGCGCTGTCGATCGCTGGATCAGCTTTTCACCGTGGACGAAGCGGAGTCCAGCCCGGAGTCGTCACATGTCCTTCCGGACGCTCCTTCGTCGAAATCGCCGGCCGCGCCGTTCTCAAGCCCACCCGCCTCTGCTCACTCTAACCCTCCGGCCGTTCCTCACTCTAGCCGCCGGCCTCTGCTCATAAACACATTTCATTACACCAAATACACAAAATACTGTTCTTTTTAGCAGCATCATATGACCCCTTTAAGGTTCTTAAGACAGATGATCATTTCCACACAAGTCACTGTCAGACTTTACTTTAAAAAGTTTCTTAAAAGGTTTTTTATTAGTCTTCTCTGCTTCTTTCTTCTGTTTTACTGATACTCCTTCACCCGCTCACAGTTACAAACTCCTCATTGTCCTTTTTCCCACACCAGGCAGTATGGGTAATGTGCAGGTGCACAGTGAAAGTACAGACTGTATTTCTTCCTTTCATCTGGCTTCTCGTTTCATTGATCTGGATCAGGTGGGGGTCAGCATGGGCAAAAATGAGCTTCAGCTCTGCTGACTGGAACACAGCGCGACTGCTGACTTCCCTCAATGACGTTTGGTACAGCGAGATCTGCTCAACGAATTTGAAGGTTTAATGTTGGAGTCAGCTGAGCTGGCAAAGCCAAACATGCAGCACAACTGTTTTCAACACTGATAGTAAGAAATGTTTTTTATTTTTTGAGCAGCAAATTAGCATATTAAAATGATTTCTGAAGTCACACTGAAGACTGCAGTAATGATGCTGAAAATGCAGCTTTGTATCACAGGAATA